TGAGACGCCTCCGACGCCTCCCTCAGCCCTTCCGGCGGCATCTGGTAAGTGTGGCACCGGAAGTTGGGCCAGGCGAGGGCCTGTCGGCTTCCCGTTGGGGTGGTGCCCCGGGGTGGGGCTCAGAGGAGGGCGGCCAGGTCTGTGGAGGTCGCCCCACTCTGAAGCTGCCGCGGCCGGCTCTCTGAGGGCAGCTGACCCAGCCTCCTGGGGACACTCCCGTGTCCTCGGCCCGCAGCCACCTTCCTTCCCGAACTTTCCGTCCCGTGTATGTGATTGTCCAGCCTGAGTCCCAGGGCTCAGAACTGGGGATCTCTCCGGCGCGGCCCGCCGGCCCGGCAGCCTGTCCAGGCTCTCCTTTCCGTCTTCGCCCCAGACTTCTGTGCTTACAGCAAATCGGAAGTCCAGGCCTGGCCCAGGCCCCTTGGGAATCTAGCTTAAAGAGCCTTGGGGAAGTGGGCGCTCAGGGAGGCCGTGGCAGGCGTTTCTCAGGGCCCTTCAGCCACAGATGAGGTAAAAATCAGGCCAGAACTTGGAGACTGACTCTGGGCCGCTCAGTTTAGGGGACACACCCTGGAGATTGCCACCGGCTTCCCCAGGGCCCCCGGGAGCCTCGGAAAGGGAAGGTCAGTGGCCAGCCTGGAGGGACATTTGCTTTGGAAGTGCTGGGCCCTCTGGCTGGACCAAGGGAGCACAGGGGAGGAGGGCAAGAAGGCAGAGCCGAGGGCGCCCTTGGGGACAGAGTGGGCGATGGGGTCCCTGAGCAGCCCGGGGCCCTCCCTTGAGACAACCCCCTCCCGGTTACTTGCTCCCTCCCCACCCCCACTCTCCCTGAACTGGGGTGACAGCTGCTGGAGGGAGCAGGCAAAGTAGGGGGAGCTGGCTTGGGGGGTCAGGAGGCTGAGCTGGCCCGGTCTGAGGGGCCAGCTGGCTGCCTGGAGCAGGCTGCTCGGCCCCCGAGAGTGTCCACGCGCACGGACAGGGCTGCCTCCGAGCGCTGGGAGCCGGGTCTCCGGCCGCCGGCCCTGACTGTCCGATGTCCCTCTGTCCTCGCCTGTCCCCACACGCTCTTCTCTCTGCTATCTCCCTGCCCCCCTCCCCCTGCCTATACCGGGGTCTCCTGGCTGCTGACCCCCCTCCCCCGTGCTTCCTGCTCACCCCCTCTCCGGGGCCGCTGCCAGCGGTGTCCCGCGCGAGCCACGCACGCACCAGCTGACCTCGGGGCTGCTGCACAGTGGCGCTTTTCTCTGTGGACGCTGCCGGCCGCGGGACCCTGGCGCCCTGCCCTTCCGGATCCCAGCTGTGGCTCCTGCACCCACGAGCCGCCGCAGGAGACTCCCACGGCCCGCTCTCCTCTGCTGGTCGGTACCGGCCGCAGTGTGAGCCCGACCTGTTCTGCAGGGCAGGCACCATGAGCAACTCGCCCTTTCTGGAGCTGTGGCAACCCAAGACCGTGTCCATCCGCGAGGGGCTGGGCATCGGGGACCAGCCCAGCGACAGCTACTGCTACAACTCCGCCAAAAACAGCACCGTGCTCCAGGGCGTCACCTTCGGCGGGGTCCCCACGGTGCTGCTCATCGACGTCAGCTGCTTCCTGGTGAGCCCCCGCCCCCCAGCCACAGTCCTCTCGCCCCTCCGCGGCCGTTCAGCTCCCGCCCAGGTGGGACCCTCAGCCGGGCAGTTAAAGCCCAGCTCTGCCCCCGCGCTCCGTGGCCCGGGCGTGTCTGGGCTCCAGCTTTCTCTCTGTAAGATGG